GGCTACAAGCTGGGCCACCGGCGGGCCCCCTTCGAGAAGCGCAAGCGCCTCAGCGACTATGCCCTCATTTTCGGCATGTTCGGCATCGTGGTCATGGTCACAGAGACGGAGCTGTCCTGGGGCGTCTATACCAAGGTAGGGGCCAGGCCATGCGGGGCTGTGCGCAAGGGGCCACGGGCCTGGGGTCACTGTGCTTCCCCGCAGGAGTCCTCGTACTCGTTTGCACTGAAATGCCTTATCAGCCTCTCCACTGTCATCCTCCTGGGGCTCATCGTCATGTACCACGCCAGGGAGATCCAGGTGAGCCCCAGCCGTGTCCCCTGCAGTGTCCTGGTCACCGGCCCTGCGCGCCGCAGGAGCCTCCATGCCCGGCTCGCTGCAGGATGTCCCCTCAGCCACCGCTCGCTGTCCCACCCCCAGCTCTTCATGGTGGATAACGGTGCGGACGACTGGCGCATTGCCATGACCTACGAGCGCATCTTCTTCATCGCCCTGGAGCTGGTGGTCTGCGCCATCCACCCCATCCCAGGCCAGTACCTTTTCACCTGGACGGCCCGCCTGGCCTTCACCTACGCTGCCTCGGTGGCCGATGCCGACGTGGACATCATCCTCTCCATCCCCATGTTCCTGCGGCTCTACCTGATCGGGCGCGTGATGCTGCTGCACAGCAAGCTCTTCACCGACGCCTCGTCGCGCAGCATCGGTGCCCTCAACAAGATCAACTTCAACACGCGCTTCGTCATGAAGACGCTCATGACGATCTGCCCTGGCACCGTGCTGCTCGTGTTCAGCATCTCCTCCTGGATCATCGCTGCCTGGACGGTCCGCGTGTGCGAGAGGTGCCTGCACCGGGGCTCGCGGGGGGGCTGCACGTGACGATGCACCGGGCAAAGCCCCGCGGGGTGAGGCTCACTCCAAAGCGGCCTCCGGCCCTGGCACGTTGTCCTGGAATAGCGGAACCTGCGCTGGGGCAGCGGCCGCTGCAGGGTTTTGCAGAGGTGCCACCCGGCCGGAGGGGCGAGCACTGAGGGGTGTTGGGGGGCCTTGGGGACCAGGCGTGGTGCAGAGGGTGCGGGTCTGGGCTCCCCTCGCTGTGCTCGTCCCTCTCGCCGCTGCCCTCGCCCTGGGCTGCTCATTAACTGCTCTTGTTTTCCCTCTCTGACCGCTCTGCTGCTCGCAGGGACAAACTGTGAGTCACCGCAGGAACCGAGAGCCGTGTCCTGCACGGGACGTCCCTCCCACCCCAGGCTTGTGCTCCCGGGAATTTAGGATTAGCTGCAGCTGGCGAGGGGATGTAGGGGGTGTGTGGGGGTCCTGGAAAGGGGCCACAGCCCATTCCCCTTGGAACCTCAGCCTTGCTTTGTGCCGTGATGGCCCCTTCACCGTGAGGCAGAGGTGACAGGCCAGCCCTGGCTGCAGGCGGTTTTGATGTGACACGGGTACCGGTGCAGGGGACCCATGGCAGCATGTGCTGGGGCACAGGTCCTTCCCCGTGGGCTCTGCCCCACGCTGCAGCAGTCACCCCCGTCACTGGGGGCCCTGTGCCCAAGGCAGGGGCTCTTAGTGCCCTTCTGTGCTCCCAGCTTCACCTCCGAAGCCACAAACCCCAGCAGAGAGCAGGGACCATCCGAGGTGGCCAGGAAGGAGCTGCTCATCTCGAAAGGGCTTTTGCGCCAGGGGTTTCTCTTGCTCCAGGTTTTCCCTCGCTGGTGGGGCAGTCGGGATGCTTGGGAAATCCTGGGAGAACTGAGATGAGGAGGGGAGGGCAGAGACGAGGAAGGGCAGGGATGAGGAAGGCTGAGGAGGGTGCAGGCGCTGCAGCCCGTGGTGGCCGCGGGGCTGGTGCTCCCGCTCGGTGCTCTCCAGGGCCAGCTGAGGTTCCAAGCCACGATTGCAGCAGGCAGGAGGACGGCAGGGATGGGGTCTGCGGGGCTGGGCGGAGGGATGCAGCAATCCTAAATTCCTCGCCTCACGCTTAGTCTGACCCGGCTTGTCCGCCTTGGTGCCCTTCCCTTTGCTTTCCTCTCTCACTGTTTTCCACCCTCTATCTTGCTCCCTGCATGCCCCCGATCCCACTGCGCGCTCCGGCCGCCCGGCCCCGTCGCACAGAGGCCCCGGGCGCAGGGC